CCAGGGCTGTGCTAGAGGAAGGCCAGAGCCTGAAGCATCCTCTGAGTCTCCCACATGAGTGTAGGGGACCAAGCACTTCAGCCACCTTCTTCTGCTTTGCCAGACTCATTAGCAGGGAGCTGAATTTTAAGTGTAGCAACCAGAACTTGAATTCGTACCCATATGGGATACTAGGACTATAGGCAACACTGGCCCCACCACATTTTTTTTTTTTTTTTTTGTCATCAATTGCTCTTAAGTCAGACTATCATGTCCTTGTACAATTACGCTTCCAAAAATTCCTGAACCAATATGTTTTAAAAGTTTTCATTTGGGACTGGTGTGGTGGTAACAGCAAGCTAATCCTCTGCCTGTGGTGCCAACATCCCATATGAGCTCTGGTTTGAGTCCTGCTGGCTGCACTTCCAGTCCAGCTCCCTACTAGTGGCCTGGGAAAGCAGTGGAGGATGGTTCAAGGTTTTGGGCCCCTGAACTCATTTGGAGGACTCAGAAGAAGCTCCTCGCTCCAAGCTTCAGAAAAGCTCAGCTGTGGTCATCATGACCATTTAGGGAGCAATCCAGAAGATGAAAGATCTTTCTCTCTGACTCTCAACTAGTCGCCTCCAGTCTTTCCTTTTGTTATCCATTCAGTTTCCAGGTATGTTTCTTGATACTTTTAGTTTATTTATTGCTTGCATACTGCTACTATTACTACTACCACTACTACTACTACTATTATTATTATTATAGTCAAACCGTGGCTGTAGCATACTTACTTATGTTGTTGTCTGGTCATTATTTAAATTTGTTCACAACTGAGTTTGGCATCTCTGTTCAGTATTTTCCACGTAGTTCTACCTTATTTGGCATATATTTCTCTTCCCCAATGAGCTTGTGTTCCATATATTTCCTATATAACTTTGAAAAATATTTAGCAACAAGCTTATCAGATATTGAGCAAACAGAGGTTGGTCATAGCCTGGGAGTGAAGTCCTAAAGATTCCTTGCTGGACCACCTGCTAACTTGTAATTGGTGGTGTTTTGAGGTGATGGTGTTTGGAGTGGGCTTGGCCACATACCTCCTGGATATACTTTGATAACTTAATTACCTGCAAAGCCACATCAGTGTGCACCAGCTCTGTAGCCTCAGTGTCCTTTGGGAGAGTCTGGAGAAGCTGTGTGTAAGGCACTGGACCCTGTCTGCCTGTGTACATTACGTCTTGTATCGGGATGGATGCCCAGTGGAAAGGAAGCATATCTGTTATACACAGCAGGGGGCAGTGAACTGAGTTCTGTCTTGGTTCACTTGTCTCTCCCCAGAAACTCCCCCAACTCCGAGCCCACCCCTCACTCCCTTCTGACACATGACTTCTTGCACAGCAAGGAGGAGTAAGCACACCCATCCAGCCCCAGTCCCCCAAGCAACCTGTGGAAATACAAAAATTCCAACATTTACAAAGTCCCCAGGAGGGATGGGATTAGGAGCTCTTCTTGCAGGCGACCTGGTCTTCTGCTTTGGTACAGGATGGGTCCCTTCCTTTGCTTGATTCCTGGGACCTCCTTTTTTTTTTTTTTTAAACTGGTCTTTAGTTTTAAAATATTTCAGTTGTTCTTTTTGTTAGGTTTGTAGAGGTGGAGTGTCTGTGACATGGACATATTTATCCTATAAGACCCCATGGTAGAATTTTAAAGGAATAACAGCAGCTCAGTGTTGCCCCGTAGAATCACTGGGGGTTGTAAGAGAATCAGTGATACACCATGTTCCTGAGTCCAGCACGTCCTGGCAGCAATTCTCATGCTGAGAACCAAGAGCTAAAACCTGCCTAACTGTTCATCCTTTGACACACAAAGTTTGCATTTCATATAGACAGTGTTATACATACAATAGTTATATATATGATATATATATACTGGAAAAGGTCCTGGGTACAGTACAACCACCCATACCAGAACACACAAACCTGTGCAGAGTGACTGCAGGTCCAAAGATGCTTCCATTCAACACAGCAGGGACAATGGTGCTGGTGGTTTCTCAGTGTACTTCATTGGGTTTTTTGTTTTTGTTTTTTTAATGTGAATTTTTTTAAGGTTTATTTATTTTTACTGCAAAGTGAGATATACAGCAAGAAGGTGAAACAGAGAGGAAGAGCTTCCATCCATTGATTCACTCCCCAAGTGACCACAATGGCTGGTGCTGTGCCGATCCAAAGCCAGGAGCCAGGAACTTCACCCAGGTCTCCCACACGGGTGCAGGGTCCCAAGGCTTTGGGCCGTCCTCAACTGCTTTCCCAGGCCACAAGCAGGGAGCTGGATGGGAAGTGGAGCTGCCGGGATTAGAACCGGTGACCATATGGGATCCCGGCGTGTTCAAGGCGAGCACTTTAGATGCTAGGCCACCGCACAGGCCTGTACTGCATTGTTTTTAAAGATTTGTATACTCAGCATGCAATGACAGCAAAGGAGTATGTTTCAAGGGCTGGAAGCCCATTAAAATCAGTGCAAGTAAAACGTTCAGGCCAATATATTGTCAAGGTGTTCAGGAACCTTAGGTCCAGTTTTTCATGGCACCCTCCTGAGAGCTGGAGGTAGGAGGGGGAAGCCACCTTTCAAAAACCTTTGTTGTCTCTGACGACTACATTCCTCACTACCCGTGCTTCTCAACATACCTGTGCCAACATGGCCACCCCAGCACAACATGACCCTCCTGCTCAGGCACCCGCCACCCTGCACTTGTTTCTTCTCCCTCTCTCCCCCAATGCTAAATGGCCCAGCTCTTGTGTTTAAAGAGGTAACTCAAGTGGGCATGGGTTTGAATGTTCTCTGAAAAGAGAGGCACAGTAGCACTCCAGTGCCACACATATGTGTAACTGTAGGTATGTTAGCATTCACCAACACATGTATGAAAAAGAAAATCTGACCAGTTCAAACAAATTTTGGCATCAAGTGATTCAGGCAAAAAAAAAAATATCCACTACTGAATGTACTAATTAATTAAGTACACAGCACTCAAACATTGTTTAGCAAATTCATGTACTATCTGTTGAGAGAACTGGCCTTGGTAAATAAACCATCTAGCTCTAAGTAGAGCTGGTCTTTTTAGAATGCTGAGAACAAACTGGGATACACCAATACAGATGCTCCAAAATTATCTTTTGTTAGATGTTAAACACAGATTTTACTGCTAGACCACCTGGGTTTGTATTCTGGCTTCAGTAATCATTAGCAGTGGGGTCTGTGGCAAGGGGCCTCCCCAGTGTGTGTCTGAGTTTTCTAATTTGTAACTTGAATATAATAGTACCTGCCATGTAGAGTTATGGGTAGGATGAAATGTACTGAGACTTGTCAGTCTTTGAAGGATGCCCAGCGAGTCACACCTGCTCCATAAATGTTACTGAATATTGGTATATTCAATTAGGTAGAACCCCACACAGAAATCCTGAAGAGAGACACTAGATAAAATACTTTAAAAAATAAGTTTATTGTAACTAATGAATATAAAATCTGACACATGTTTTGAAACATTTTTGCAAAAGTAAAACCTTCCCTCCCCAGACCCGTCCTGTCCCCAACAAGATATAGAGTAGGAACTTAGACAGAAAAACAACACTGACCCAAACATGAAATGCTCATTCCTTGGTTGATCCAAAAAGGCTCCAACATTAAATTCTAAGTAAAGGTCCATTAAATTAAGACGTCAACAAACCATTTGACACTTCTGTAGTTTAACTGGCTTTCTACTGTCACTATGATGCTCATTCAAAGTGCTGAGAGACAAGAGCAGGTGGCATAAGACTGCAGGTGATGGATGTTCAAAATGCATGGAACTATGACACCACAGACGCTGACAGGAACAATGGGTGTGGAGTTAACATCGACTTAAATTAATCCAAAGACGTCTTTGTACAGTTTGGCCTTTGGCATTTGCTCTAACGTGTTTCTTCTTTAAATAGACATCACTTTGTTCAATCTATTAACCAGACTAAGTTTATCTGAGCACATTTCTCATCTAACACCGATTGTCCACAGCCAATTTCACATGAGGTAGTTGGGCTGCTTAGTGACATTCTAGTGAAATTCTCATGATGTGTGGGAAATCATACATCAAACGTGTCAAGAAACGGACCCACTGGCCTTCTAGGAAGCAGGAGGGTCACTTCAAGACCTCCCTTCTTAACACCACAGGCTCTTACATACCCAGTAACAGATGCACATGCAAGACTGTGTGTAGATGAGACCAGCTTTGCCACAGATACACGCAGCTCAGGGTGGTTTCTGTTTGCAAGATACAGGGAGGAAGTATCGACCACACTTTAATAAACATCTACACTATTTAAAACAACCAACATGTAATTCTTGGCTTCTCACCAACTTAGTCAACAAATGTTTGCACTAAAAAAGAAGTGTTCGATAAGATACAAAGAAGTCTGAATACTTTTGCATTGCAGAGAAGTGGTATATTTCTTCCTTTTAAGACTGTCTAAAAACAGCAGAAAAAAATGCATGAGTCGTCTGTAACCAGGGAGACGCCATCATGGGTGTTTAATCATACCTGGATGCAGCAGTGCAACAAGAAACCACACACATGGTCCCTGTCCTCAGGATGCCAACTGTCGGGGACCGGGAGAGAATGGCCACAGGGAAGGTTTAGGGTATGCTGATGGAATCCTCAAAAGGACTCTGAATGACATTGTGTTTTTTCTTTTTTATGACATTGTAATAGAGAAGCAGTGTTAAAATGCCACTGGACAGCTAGTGAATACTGTTTGACATCAGTACTATGAAACCCGTGTCAGCAACCACAGATGACAAAGGGACATACAGATGCCTGGACGAAGCATTTCACAGGGATACATGTCAGTCATACATGCCAAAGAGCATGTGAAGACCATAGTGGACACAACAATTGCTTCAAATAGATTCCACTTCGTCATAAATTCAACATCGAAGAAGGTTTTAATTTTTAAAAAATTTAAAAACAAAGGAAAACCTGTCACTAAAATAAGAAGCAACTGTTTTCCATCAATGATTCAGAAATATACCTTTATGTAACCAAGGTCTTACAGGGTGTGGTAGAGGCGTGGGAAAAAGCACAAAGGTAGTTTTGCTTGAGAAAGTTTCCCCAATGCTTCTATTGCTCATGACCCTCTAGTTCTATTGCCTCATCTGAGATTTCTTCATATCATAATCAGTTTGCTTTATAAGAAATTTCTTACTTCAGTTCTTCCTTCACTTCAAATTTAACAAAGAAAAATGTTTATTTGATCCTACAACACACACATGTATTTTAAAAATTAAAAATGCTTTGCTGAAAATATGATGTTAAGAGCATTACATTTCTGGACACCTACTTGTAATGGAAGTAGTCACCAGAAAGAAAAGAGTGTAAACTTTCCAGTGGTGCTCACCTACCAAGGCCACCTCTGCCAGAGTGGCACACCACCTGCTCTACAGCTATGAAGGGATGCCTGCATCCTGCTGGAAGTGCTTGTAGCCTGCCGAGGTCGAGGCCAGAAGCTCCATCTGTGTTCAGGGCTGCTACTGAGGAATAAGGGAAGACAGGCTGAAAGTGGGGGACAGATTTGGGGCACTACTGGCAATTTTCAGGAGCAAATCATGCTGAACAACAGACTGTAGGTATCCTTTGTGGAAAATATTGGTATCTCGAAGGATGTTCAGATGATAAGGTGTCTCACTGCACATTCCTGGGGCTCATATGCAGCTCTTTCTGAGATGAATCCCTTCAGAGATGAATCAAGAGCTGATGAGACAGTTGTCTCTTTCTCACAGGTTGAATTCAGCCCCCAAGAGGAACGCCCTCTCACCCAGGAGTAATATTTCTCACCCTGTGCTATAACTGAGTTAGATTTGTTTCCAAAGGACAAAAGACTCACCACCACCAAGAGGACTGTTGTGTAGTTCAACAAATACACCCCGGCCTCACTAACTATCAAGGTTCCACTGTAGGCCCAAGTACAGGCATGATGGGCAGGCCTGTGGGAGTGCTTCCTAAGGGGTCAGCCACCTGCTACTGCTTCACTTTCACTAATAGGTATAAAATACGCTGCCTTCTTCTTCAGGTTCTCTCTAAGGATTATGCCAAAAAGGGAATCCTCAGAGTGTTCTGAGCAAGGAGAACACAGACGTTCCAGAACTTTCAGATCTCTCAGTTAGCAGCTTTGGGGGGCTCTGGAGAGACAACTCTAAGTCCCTTTTCTCATTGCTCCCTTCTCAGACTGTAGCTAAGTTCAGCACAACTGATGCCTTCCAGAGAAGACATAAACACCACAGACTCAGAAGGAAACTCAAGTTGATTATCATTCTCTGTTTAGTTCAGTTTTGAGGCACTTTAAGGATCCCACTTTTCCAAGCTTCATAGGCTCTAGTGAGGAAGACACCTATCACAAAACTTACTCTTTCCACAGGGCAGGACAAAGGGTGGCTGGAAAATGGAGCTTAGTCATGTGACTTGAGCTGCTGCATGTTACTAGGTTCCCACAATGATCCCAGATCATATTAAGCTTCTCTTGGTTCAGAAAATGGCCTTGTATCTGCATTGGTGTGACACGGCCAGGCCCAGGAGCTTTCCTCTCATGTGGACTGGGAGACTTAGTGGCAAGTTTGAAGCACATTCAGTGCCCACCTCCTCTCGAGACCACAGGAGGTCACCTGCGGTCACATGTACAGGATAGGCAGCATGGCCTACTGGGGGAGGAGGCACCATACTTTGTAGAAGGAATGCCCATCCAAGGTTGTTTCATGAAATACTTAGTTTTCATGTTTAAATTCTCACACTGCCCAAAGGTGTTTGAGACTGACAAGCAGTTGCATGTAGCTGGCTGCACTCTTGGTAATGACCCTACAGTTGATCAGTGAGTTGCTTCCGCACTATGGCCCTGTGGACAGTATCAGGCCTACTGCCTGGGTGCCCACTCTGCTTCAGTAAAGGGTGCTGCTGAGTCAACTCTCTTCACTTCTCACTATCCACTGAACTATGCATCCAAGTGATGGCCTCTTGCTCCTTGCAAAAGGGCATTCTGTAAACTAGAATTTCATCAATGCTGTGTGCCCAAGAATGACTTGGGAGGTTTCATGTGGCTCTCTGAGCCTCACCCTCAGATTCTGGTTCTTTCAGTCAGACAGGCCTAGAATCTGCCCTCTGGACAAGCATTCCCTGTGATTTGACATTGAAGTGGTTCAGGTCATACTTGCAAGTCACATGGCTCCTCCCTGAGAGAGTACCTGTGAGAAGACCCCTAAGCGCTGACTCTTCTGAAGTGGGGCACTGAACCCTTTGGGTATCTTGGTGTCACAATCATATCTAGATGAGACACAGCACGGGGAAATATACTGGAGAAGGGTGTCATCAGATGGGTGTCACTCAACTGACCTACCCCACCCCTCCCATACTATCCTCCAGCTGGGAGTCAGGGCACCCCACTCAACTCCCACCTGTTGGTGAGGACGCAGTCCTTCCTTGTCCAAGTCTTCACTTGCCACAATCACAAGATCATGTCAATGAACATTACTACACAGGCTCTTCTCACCAAGTCATGGAGAAGAGACTCCAGTACAGAACATCTAGAAACAGTCACTTCTACACTGCAGTTGCTTGAGCAAAAAAGGGCTGACTTCTAAATTGTTTAAAACATTGGCTAGAAATTATAGTCCTTGCTACAGAATTTGCTCATTTTCAGCTTGGGTTTGAACGGTCCATTAAAACAAAAGTTTAAAATAAAACAATATGCTCACAACATCAACAAATTCATATGTCAAGTCTGCTCTTAGAACGTGCTGTTCAAGTCTATAACAGCTATTGATTTGGTTTCCAGTAGATCCGTTGAACTGAAATATGTAGCACCTTGATTTATGAATACACAAAACACATATGCCTTTTTAAAAATTACATATAAAAGCACTGGGTTTTGCTTCCTCTTCGCAATCCCAAGGAAAGGGGTTGGAGAGGGCTGAAGCTGTTGCTGGAAATTAAGCAGGGCAATGCAACTTGCTAGCAAACTTTATTCCCTGAAGTTAGGAGATGCTGTCCTGCAGTTGTCATACCACCTCGTCAGACTCCAGCCCGTGGACCTCGTACAGAGTGTCCAGGATGGCCAGCTGCTTCTCCATGGCAGGGAGGTAGAGGCTGAGGTCCCTCTGCATCCCGACACTGAAAGCTTCCTTCTGGTGATCGCCTTCCTTTATGGTTAATGCCGCCACAAAATCTTCATAGGATGGAGCTGCCCTCAGGGCTAACTGCAAGAGAACCAAAGAGAGCTTGAGGAAAGAAATATGAATTTCTGATTTGTTTTAAGCACCAAATCAAGTAACTTTTTCTTCATTAAACTGCCTTTCTCAGGCCAGTAGTAGGGAGCCGGATCAGAAGTGGAGCAGCAGGGTGTGAACTGGTGCCCATATACCGACCCCCAACCCCAAACAACTTTTAAGGATAAAGAGACAATTATGTAGTTGGGCTATTGTAAGGATTAATAATACCATCGAGGCAGGGACTCCCTTCTCACAGTGGGCTCCAGACATCATAGTCTATCAGCGCGCATGCTGCTGCCATCACGAGCTTTACCCTTCCTTGCACAGTCAGCCTTCCAGGGCACCCCAACCTCTGACTGATTTCTTAGCTTCATATATATTTCTTTGCATATCCCCTGTGCCAGGCACCTCCCCTCCCCCAGGATAATGCCATCTTTGGGTCTTTGAATATTTTTACAAACAGTATATTTGAATATTTTCTAAAAGAGAAATCCATATGTTGCTTGCATGTGCACTGCGGCTCTAACACTTTTTATGCCAGTTAATCTTTGCAGGCATTCTGTACATTTAGGTCTCTGTTTTACAGATGGGTGTTATACAGCAATGCGATTTGAACTTAGGCCCACCTCCGTGCTATCAAGCATACCCATTCCCTGAGGGCTAGTCTCGGAGGCTGCCTGTCCACACTGCCTCCTGCAGGGCACTTGCCCCTCAGCTCACCAAACCTGCTTTCTGAGGCGCACACACAAAAGGATGCCTCTGCTGAGAACAGCAGGGCAGCAGGTCTGAGCAAAGGATTTCTGGAGAATCTTAATTACCATCTTGCATTCACTCTCCAGATGTTCCTTATATTTTAAATGTCTTGAGAACCAGCTCTCTTCCATTTTTACAATGAGAAAGTCAATGATATTATTACGTAATGATTAAACCTCTATGGAGACAAAGCCCATGTGGACTTGAATCCCAGATCTTTTACAATGTAAGCCAAGTGTTTCACATCCTAGAAGTTCACCAGAGGGGCTGACCACTACATTCTAGAATGTGGGGATAAGGAAAGACTGTGGAAGTACAAGGGGAGGTTGATGTCTTGAGAACAGGCTGACAGTTTTCCGGCAGTAGCTGTGGGAAAGAGGACAACAGAGTGTGGCACCTTCAACACTGCGGGAAAATGATGACTAACCTAAAATTATATATCTAGTCAAACCAGAAAGAACCAATGACAGGTTCAGCTGTATAGTCTGACTAAAGGGGAAGCCAAAAAGGAAAAGGGTAGCTGGTTGGGGACCAAGCTGGAGGCCACGTTCTGGGAGATTGTAACTGCCGGAATCTGACCTAAAGGGGCCACCTACTCCTGCTATTTTACAGAACTGAGTACGTAACTGACCCAGGAAACTGTGATTCTCAGTTACATCATTCCAGTTCAATATGGGAAGGATGGTTGATGGTATCAGGAGCCAAAGCATAGGACTCAGATACCTTCATAGTGACAATAACTGAGAAAAGACTGCCATGCCTAGCCACTGGTATACCCAACAGTTAATATTCAAAGAAGACTGAAATGAAAAAGAAAAATCAAGACTTGAGAATGAATGTGATTGGATACAATGGGCAGCAGAGGGCGCTATTGGCGTGACTGCATCATTTCCCCTCAGTATTTGCTTCCTGCCTTGCCTGCCTCTGTGTGGACACTGCAGCTTTTTACTACCTTGTCAGGAAGGCAAGTGCACAAGGTCACTGGATCAAGGCCAAGCAAGCACATGCTTTCATTCATGGTCCTTTAACAGTTGGTGCCCAACCTCTTTTCATTGCCAGGCCTATAAGCCTAAGTGAAAGAAGCAACTTGTGTTCTTATTCTCAAAAATAAAACATACAGAAACACCACATACAACAACAACACAAAGCACTTTGCTTCTGGCCGTCAGAATGTCAGAAGGATTACTTACCGCAAAGACTCCTCGGACGACCCAGCCGTGGTGCTGCCGCAGGGTTTTACCATATGCGTTATCTTGAAAAGATTAAGAACAACTCCATGAAGGCTTATTTCACCCAATTTTGTTGTACTATCTGTACCATGAACATTTGAATATATGCAGTAGCACAAGCTTACTGGTTTTAAAAGCTGATAAAATTTAATTGAAAGATCTTACATCCTCAAAGTCCTAAGTAGGAAAAATAAAACCCATATAGACTTTTTAAATAAAAAGATAAATAGATACTTGCACTCTTATTCTAGGTAGAAGTAAAAATGCAGTTCTTTGGAATGCTGTGTGACTATTAGCCAGGCGCTGATCTGCTCCTTCTCCCATGTTTCCTTTTCTGTAAAATAATCTCTGAGGTTGTTTTTGACTCTGACATTCTGTTCTGGGATTCCAAATGTTTGTTCTATGATCCAGAATATTCTGGGGCAGCATCTGGCACAAGGTTAAAGCATGGCTTGGGATACCCACACCCCATGTCAGAATGCTGGGTTCAACCCCTGTTCTTCCAATCCAGCTTTTTTTTTAATCTTTATTTTTAAAAAATCGATTTTAATTTTTTTTTTTAAATTTGAAAGGCAGAGTTACAAAGAGAAGGAGATAGATCTTCTGTCTGCCGGTTCACTCCCGAAATGGCTGCACTGACCAAAGCTGAGCCAATCTGAAGCTTCCTCCTGGTCTTCCACCTGCGTGCAGGAGTCCCCATCCTCTGCTGCTCTCTCTGCCCGTAAGCAGGGAGCTGGATGGGAAATGGAGCAGCTGGGACACAAACTGGCCCCCATACAGGAAGCCTGCCCCATAGGTGGAGGCCCTAGCCTACCACTGCTGGCAGTGGCCCCCAAACCAGCTTCTTACTGAAGCTCACCCTGGGAAGCAGGAGATGACTGCTCAAGTAAATGGGTTCCTGCCATCCACCTGAGGGAAGCAGAGGGCGTTCTGGGCTTGTGGCTTCAGCCTGGCCCAGCCCTGGCTCTTGTGAGTGTTTAAGAGTGAACCAAAGGATGGGAAAACCTTTCTCTATCTTTCAGATAAAAATGAAAAAATATTTTTTCAAAGTGCTAGAAATCTTTACAATATCATGTAAAATGGCTTAAATTATCAAACCAGTTAGAAAGCAACTAGTGAGATCTACAATCTTTCAAATTTATACTCTGAAGATAACAACATGTTGTTTTTGTCCTGATGTGTTCAAAACAGTATTTTAAAACTGATACAATAATTTTAGTTACAAAGAGAGTCCCAAGAACAGGAAGACTACATTTTATGCAAGGTTTGTATTCCTGAAGATTAGGAATAATTCAATATAAGCACAATTCAAAATCAGTTCTTGGCATGACAGCATTGCCAGGAGGCACGCGCAGCGCTCTGCCTCATCTCCAGGACTTACAGAGTGCTCAAGTGCATCCTGGCGCTGATGTGACCTGCATCACGTGAACTCCATGTGTGACAGCGCTGAAATCCCTTTCCAAAAACAGGTATTCACACCAGCACAAATACTCATCTAATGAAGGCTTGGATGACACCATGATAGGTTAGATAAATATCTTCAATTTACTCAGAGCAGAAATAAAAACAACAGGAAAACAGACACTAAAACCTCACGGACAACCCAAGTCCTCTGTAGCAGTGAAAGCAGTGTGGCTCACAGGGCACTGCTGACTGGTGGCTCCCATGGGGCTGTCACATGACTGACTCAAGCCCTCCTGCTTTGGAATGACATAGCTCTAGTCAACTTTCACCTCAAACACGTGGATGAGGTTTTAACACTTTTAGTACACCCTACCATTTCAAATTCATGTAAAATATAAAATATCTTTTATGCAAAATATATTCAATCTAAACAGGAATACATACATTTAAAAGCCAGTAAAATCTGCTAGTGGAGCTTCCCAGGGAACAGCTGCTCCATCTAACTAAAATGAAATGCATGTCTACTGCACTGTGTCTCACTCTGCAAGGCAGTGAGATCCTCCCCAGTTGGAACCCGGTCACTCCCTTGCCCTTCAGAAGCGGGGATCGTAGACGGAAGCTGGACACTGAACAAATCACAGTTGATTTACTAGTCTGTCTCATAACAACGTCTCACGGAAACACGCTGTTATGGGACAGAACAGAAAGTGATGAGTCCAGCCACGGGGCATGTGGACACACATAATTCTCTCGAAAGAGTGCTGAAGGGTAGTAGGTGGCACTACAGAGGAAGCACTGTGGAGCTGGGAGGGGTCAGGGTGCAGCAGGCAACACAAGCAACCCCCGGGGCCAAATGGTGAGGCCTGTGATGCACCTGCGGTAACAAGTCTGAACTCCCATCTGAAGCAAGTTGCAGTTTTGGAAAATATAACATTCACTGTTTGAAGCTATAATCACTTCTCCCAGAGAAAACCACAGTGGGCATTCTGGAGAAAGACTTTCTTTCTTAGACCTCTTTTCTACCCAGAGGGTATGATTTTCTTGTGTTACCAACGCCATGATCATTCATCTGAATCCTGTGGTGGGAAGGTACAAGATGAGACTCACACCGCTCTGCAGGATGCAGCAAAGCCCACTGCCCAGAGCTCCCTGTTCAAAAGGGTTCTGGATCCAGGGAGACACAAACCTCTGACCTTTTACCTTTCCGACACTCGGCCAGTCAATATAACCATCCCAAGAGGCCCCAAAACTGACAGGCCCCAAAACTGACAGGCACCAAGAGGACAAGGTACCATGAGTTCACATCGCATGAACAGCCTGGTCTGAGGACAAGGGAGCCTTCACTCTGCACTGAGACCCGTGTCCTCACACTTGGCCCTAGCAGAAGCAGCGGCCATTCATTGTGGCACCTGCACCTCGATGGAGAAGAGTTCCACCTGGCAAAATGTGCCTCACCAGAAAAGTCAGTCATAAAATTCAGCTGCTGACTCAGGCTCAATGAGACCACTGCTGAAATTTAAAGCCAACAAATAAAAGAAAGTTCATTTTAAAAATGTTCTTAGCTGACTTCCAGGGCTGCACATACTAGCACCACATCAGGCTACATTAAAAAATGATTGTCTAAGCCTGTGATCTACTTTGTGTGCCTAGAGAAGACTAGATAATGAAATGCATTAATCTCCCCCATAATACGATTTATTCTCATAATGCATGCCTCATAATCTGAGTATTTCTGGCCTCTGAAACATAAATGCTCTTGTTCTCTTCACTGTAATGTGTAACAACTCCAGATGATGATTGGAAATTTTTGAGTGGAAAGATTTGCCAGTCACCTTGCCCAATTCTCCCTGCTTCACAAATGAAGCGATGGAACGCCCAGTGAGGCAGTGACTTGCCCATGGTCTCCAAAGTAAAATCAGTGAGAGCTTGGGGCATTTTTGTCAGAACAGAACATTCTGCCAAAAACTAATGTTTATTCTTTCTGACTTGAAATAATTAGAATGAAAAGTGTGCCTCTTCCAGCCATTCTCAAAGCATGAGCACCTTTTTCTGGCTGGGAGAATGCCACAGATCTCATCAAGAACACGTGCAAAGGGACCATCCACACGGCAGTACGGCTTGTCGTGTAAAAGTCTGGAATTCACCTTGCTGTCTACAAGTAGTACATGAGTTTTTAAAAACTCTGCTCAACTCACATGAGTCAGAACTACAACACTGACTGTGTCTGAAGAACAATACTGTGTAAATGTGACTCCAGGTATGTGAGTGTGAAACATTCAGTCCAATACTGGACACTGCTTACGAACACACCAGCGCACAGCGAAAGCACAGAAACACGCAGCATATAATAACTAACGGCAACCTCAGGGTGAAGATCTTCAGGAAATGAGAATGGTCGGGTCCAGGGGTTATAAAGAAGCCCTGACTGTACTGAACTATTGTTAGGTACATCAGGTACTAGATATTTGCTAAATGCCTGAAATAGTTATCATTTCAAAAAGGCTAAGCTACTAGGAAAGTTCCCTCTAAATTCTGCATGGTGACTAGGCGCTGGGTGTGAGCAAGACCAGTTCAAGCAGTGGGCCGAGAGGACAGAGGTGCCCAGAGGTACTATTTTGTTACCTTCAGGCACTGGCAGGACTGAAGCAGGTGCTGTGAGCTAGTTCTGCCCATACAGTCTTCTGCTGTACAGATTCTGGGGCAGGCAGGACTGGCTCCACGTCCCACGGTGTTTACTAAATAACTAAGTTATGACTTGAAGACAATACGCGATTGTGTGCTGGCTATAACTCTCACTTGCACTTCTTGTCTGTGAGACTTTCATGTTAGAAAAAGTGACTGAGCAGTCTTTAAAAATGTTCCCCATTCTGCGTCAGAGATGGTGGTCAGGTTAATTTCGACTTGACATTTCCAGAATAATGCTTGAGTGACAGATGTGGCAATACACCATCCTACAGAGTGAGCAGCACAGAGCACCACATGGCATTTAGCATAGCGGTAGGGCATGGGAAATGCCAGTGCCAATCCTCATTGTCCCTCTTAAAGGATGCTTTCTGCAACCTCTCATTGATGTGACATCTGCAAGTAGAGCTGCTAAGTTCTAGGGCAGAGCACTGCACAGACCTGCCTTATGGGCTCGCCTCCTTCCTTAACAAGACCTTTCGAGAATGTCACGGATGATGAGGCACACAGTAGCTCTCCAATCTGAGCACCCTGCGGGGAACCAGAGGGACGGCAGGTGCCTGAGCAGGGGCAGTGCAAAGCCCAAGAGCTCCTCCAGGGACAGGAAGCACGGAGCCCATAGAACAGCAGCAGCGAGCAATTCCCAGCATGGAGCTGTGAGGCTTCCCCTGTGGCCTCAGGACTTGCACTCACCATCTCCTGCTGCTCCTTTGTAGTCTCTAGCCCCGCCCTCTCCGGCTGATTAGTAAAATGTACTTACTCAGGGCTGTCTGGATATCCTTTTCCCCATTTTTCACTTCAGTCAAAAATCCTTTCAAAAATTTGAGACCTCTACAAAAAGAAGAGACATTGTTTTTAAGCATTAATTCATTTATTTGAAAGGCTGAGTGAGAGACTTCCCCAGTGGCCACAACAGCCGGGGGTGGACCAGGCTGAAGGAACATAGAGCTCTGAATAGATCTCCTGGGCTGGTGCAGGGGCCCAACACTGGCCCACCCTGCCCCACCTTCCAGGTTCCCCGGGCAGAGCTGGACTGGAAATGGATCAGCTAGGTTTCAAAGTAGCACTCCCATGGGATACCAGTGTTGCAGGTGACTGCTTAACACACCATGCCATAATGCCCAAACAACCTGAAAGTTGAACGGGTGTAAAGAAACAATAGACATTGGCCTTCATTTTGGTAATATTTTGGGCATAATGGTAAACAGATAAAATCTCATGGCAGCCCTTTCTGAATTTGTTTCCCTGCCACTCCCTCTGGGCTGCTTTGGACCTGTCCTTCAACTCCTGGGGTGTCCCATAAAGCAGTGGTTTTCAATATATGATTCCAGGACCTGTGGCTTCCATGTCCCATGGGATTTTGTTAGAAATGAAAATTTTGAGGCCCTGTCCTCCTGGAAATCAGCAGCTCTGGTTCACGCCAGTGTTTTTCACAAGTTTCCCAGGTGATTCTGTCACACCCTTTAGGAGTCCTACTTTACATATACCATTAGTAATATTCATTAATATTATACATTAATATTATATATTAATATTATATATAATAATAGCCAAAAAGTAGTTGGTGTTCTACTTATTAGGCCTTCTAGAAAAGGATTTGGTTGGATGTTTTACTCATTGGGGAGTTAAACAGCAGATGGACAATCTGTGCCCATCTGTGTGTTTCTCTGCCTCTCAAATAAACAAACATTTTTAAAAAAGAAGCGATCTCTGTGTAACTGCATTTTGCTGCTAACACTTTAATGGGGCTGGGTTGAAGCTGCAGCCCCTGCCCTGCGGCCTCACCTCTTCAGCCACAAGAGGGCTTCAGTAGCTGAGTTCCTGACCTGAGCTACATCCGCCTCCACCTCGTGCAGCACGATCTTCTGCAGGGTAGTAAACTCCTCCTTGTTGGTTATATACTTCTGATTCACTTTCTGGAGAAAAGACAGGCAGAGTTAACTTAAAAATGCTAAAGTCAAGCCAACCAGTTTAGCACCGAGATGTATAAGTTTGACAAGAAGGCCTCCAAGAAATAAAAATAAGATTCTATTTTCTCTATGTCCTGGCACTTATGCTGGAAAGAAACAAAACCAATTATCTCCTCTCAGTTGGCTTTTAGCAGATATTTGTTTCAAAGGCAGAGTTAAAGTGAGAAGGAAAGAGACACAGAGGCAGCATCTGCCCATCCACTGGTTCACGCCCAACATGGCCACAGTGGGAAACCAGGAGCCTGGAACTCTGGGTCTCCCAAGTGAGTGCCAAGGTCCCAGATACTTGGATCATCTTCTGCTGCTTTCCCAAGTGCATTAGCAAGAAGCTAGATCAGAAGTGGAGAAGCCAGGACCTAAACCAGTGCTCACATGGAATTCTGCCTTTGCCCCAGCATATACTTTGCATTATGAATAGGAAACACCAAATTATTTGTCCAAATGAGCTTTTTTGCAACTGTTCTATAAAGAAAGGTTTACAGAAATTCTTTACATGGCTTTCTCAATGACAGAGACAAAGACAACATTTTTGGGCACAGTTTTCTTAAGAGGGTAATATTCAATCTGCATTTAAAAGGGTGAAAAGAAGCAGGCTGAGCTTGGGACAGGTGGTGATGGGCCCACAGCTGCAGCAGGAGGGTGACCTTTGCTGTCCCACACCACTATATAATGTGTCTTTTTGGAAAACTCTAGCTCGTAACTTATAAAATATAACCTAAAAAAGCAGAAGAGCACTGACATAAGAGCAAAATTCTGCTGACTCATGCTGTGGGCAGGAAAAGACAATTTTGGCTTCTTTAAAGTGACTATTCTAAAAAGCCTGCCTCTAGCACACAGCAAAGGCATGGTTACTCCTTTCATCCCCAACACTACAAGTAAGAACAGAGACATTCTCAGACAGAACTGGAATACATCTTTGTACATCATACTTCATTCTTGCCAAACACAAAAAACCTGGAAATGTTTGCCTTAAAAGTTTCTGCATGGATATGAACTGTACTACTGCAACAATGTGGAGGAATCCAACATGGGGGAAGGCATGGGGAGGGGTTGGGGGAATCCCAGAGTCTATGAAACCATGTCATAAAAAGAAATTTAAAAAATAATAAAATAAATAAAAATTTTAAAAAGATAATTTAATAAAAAAAGTTTCTGCAGAGATAGGCAAGTACACTCACCTTAATATTTCCAACAAGATCCATTTTAACAGGAGCAAATACAGTTGGCCCAAGCTTATCTATAAAAATGAACCAAAAACATTTTGTAAAAGCAATTTTTAAGTGGGAAATTTTTTTTGTTTGTGTTATGTTATTGCTGTTTTAAGTTTTTCATTGCTCATTCATTTATTTGCGAGGTAGGAAGATGAGAGGTCTCAGCTGCTGGTTCACTCCCAGTTGACCAGAACTGACGCCAGGAGCGACGAATTCCCTGGATCTCCATGTGGATGTAGGAACTCAATCACTTGAGCCATCAGCAGTGCCTGCCAGGGTCTCTATCAGCAAGAAGCTGGAGGCGGGAATAGGAGGTGGTTCCAATCCAGGCATTCGGATATATGCCACTGCCGTTTTAACTGCAAGCTAAAAGCCTGCCTCCTTCCATATTTTAATTTCTTAGTGGAAAATACCTTTTACAGTAACAGTAAATTTAGTAACTCTTTTCTCCAACGACTTTGTTTCCTTCAAGATTATTTTCTAAGTACAAGCTGTCAAAGCTTGATATTTTTTATCATCGTTTTCTGTTCTATAACTCTGATGAGTCTACAATAAATTCTTAAGTGACAGAGAAGATGAAGATTACATCATAAATTTTGAACACATGAGGGTGCTTCAAAGTTTGTTATAGCAGCAGGTGTGTAGCCTAGCAGTAAGCAAGACGGCAGAATAGAACTCATGAGGGGGAGGGCATTTGGCCCAGTAGTTCCAGCTGCCCATTTCCCCTGTCTTCATGCCTGGGCTCAAGTTCTGGCCCTGCTCTCAAAGACAACATCCTGCTAATGCACACCATGACAGGCAGCAGCAGATGGCTCAAGTACTTGGTTCCCTGCCACTCACATGGGAGACCCAGGCTGAGTTCCAGGCTCCATGGCTCAGCCTAGCCCAGGCATTGGCACAGAAACATACTAGGGTCATCCCAAGTCTTGGTATGGATGTGAATTATATAGGTAGCTGTACCTGTCAAAACTCACTGAGTTATTCAATACACTGAATTACACTCACTAAATAACATTTAAATAGTGTAAAGTTATACTTCCATTAAAAAAAAAGTATACAAAAATGTACTTCCACTTAAAAAAATACACAAGCTCATGCAGCAAATTTTGAAGATATTTACAATCCCTGGCATTTGCTGATTTTACACTACATTTTCATTTAAATAAGCTTATATATACTTTAAGAAGTGTGCTGAAAATGCAGTTAAAAGATGTTTATTTTGGTATAAAAACTTTTGACACCTATGCATAATTTTTCATAATATGTATTTCCATTAAGTTTTCATTAGTATCTTCTTATGTATCTTTTATCTTTGAAAAAATGTTTACATGGTTAATTTTTTTTTACAGCAGCAACAGATTTGAAGACCTAGTCCTTTAACTACTTTCACTTTCGCTTTATGTACAGTTTCTAGCAAGCAGATTCTACCTTTCTGCAGTTACCTACTGGTCATCATTAGAAATGAAATGGGAACAATCATGTAACTCAAGATTTAACAGCTTCTTTTTTTAAAGATGTACTTATTTATTTGAAAGGCGGATGGCAGAGAAAAGGGGGAAGAAAGAGAGGGAGATCTTCTATCTTCTGTTAACATTAATAGGTTGAAGCCAGGAGCCAAGAACTCCATCCTGTTCTCCCACAAGGAGCCAAGAATTCCACCTTGGTTTCCCAGATGGGTGGCCAAAGGCCCAGACACTTGGGCCATCATGCACTACCTTTCCAAGCCCATTTAAAAGAAGCTGGATTGGAAGTATAGTAGTTGGGGCTCAAACCAGCATTCTGCTATGCCAGCTGTACCACAAGGGTGGCCCCAAGGTTGAATAGTTGCAATAGTATGTGGATAGGAGGTGGTGGCTAAGAAGGATCAGCTCACTCTACACATAGGTCAGGATATTTCTTCTACTAAATAACAGCAGTGAGACAAACTGTACAGATTAATGAACGTAAGCAACTATAGCAACCTTACCTAATACTGGAACCACAGCATAACATGATGCCAAGAATGCTTCTGTGGGAATGCCACTATCTTCCAGAAGCTCAATGTCACTAAAGCTGAACAATTTAGTGATACAGAGGAGGAAAGATTGAAAATACATCAGCACTCCATAGTTCACAGGGAGTTACAGGAACAGCTGTCTAACATTAGGTCAGTTCATTTGGCCTTATTTCACAGGTATATGTCCATGATATTTTTCCTATTATAATATGGTATAAACTTTTCTACAATAATCCAAAGCAAGGTAAAATTTGTTCACAGAGTAGTCTTATGAATTCAGTTCCTTCTCATTCACTGTTCAGGCAAGGTAAACAGTAAAACAGATGCTTGGTATAGCATATTCTCTAATCGCTTAGAAAATACAATCACTTGGAAGGAACACCACACCTGAATTTTCCATAAGGGAAGCTGTTCTCTAACGGCCAATGATTTCACAGGGTCTAGAGTACCTGGTGTTCATGGTACTGAAGAAGGTTGGGATGACTTCTTGGCCCTCTTCCTGGTGGGATTCTGGAGAGCAAACAGGGTCTGACGTGGGCTGTAACAAGTCCTTGTCGTGACCCCTCAGCTTTTCCTCTGTATCTTCCTTCATTACTTCACCTTGTATTGCAAAGAAGATAGATGCATACCATAAAAACTAACACATATTCATTGTTAGACATTTCAAACACTGAGAAGTAAAAATTGGTGAAAGGTTGTACACAAATACATACAGAAGGTAATTTTTAAAAGTTATTGGAAAATTCCATATTCTAGTTTAATTTTTCCTTTGGCCTTCTGAAGCCCTCCCCGCTGCAACCAGGTTTAAAGTATATGTCGGTTTGTATTCTGCTTGTCTTCCTTGGACAGAATACCATGTACATTTCCACTATCATCCAGTTCTCTCCAAAAAACATGATTTTAATGGCCATACAATCAATACCAATGCATTGTACCCACAAGGAAGACATTTAGAGAATACCCAACATTTTACTACCATAAATACAATCCAATCCTTATTGTAAGCATATGTCGCATTCGCAAATTTGTTTCTTTTCCGAAAGTTTCTTTGCAATCCCCAGAACAGATACTTGAAGAGCTTTTGCAGTCATTGTGGACACCTGCAGCATTGTGAAAACCGTGTCACCCTACAGACACATTCCCAGCTGGGGTGAGACAAGGCGAAGAGCTGCCGCCTCATTTTCAGTTCTCACACTGTGAACAAATGCTCTTATTCAGTGCTACAGTCTTTTGAATGTTTGTGTATTTTGGTGTTGACATTTTTGTAAATGTCCAACTGTAAGACTACCTAGGATTCACAAGGTGGCTAGAATGTGAATTATCAATGAAAATTTTGATAAATTTGTGACCTGGATGGAGTTTAGGTTCCTGGCTTGACCTGGTCTAGTCCTAGTCATTGCAGCCATTTGGGAAGTGACCCACAGCTGGAAGATCAATCTCTCTCTGCCTCCCTCTGTCAGTCTCCATTCAAATAAATAAAATAAGCTTTAAAAGCAAAAACATTAACTATTATAAACAATGAGAACTGATTACAGTGCCACAAAGAGCCCTGTTCTCTGTTCTTTGTCCTTAAGTCTGACTACTCACTGAAGAGAAATCCCCAAAAGTGAAGCCTGTGTCAGATAACTGTCAGCCCATCCTAGCAGGATTCTGCCATCTCTATTATTTACTCAAGTGACAAGACTCCAACAACAGGGGCACTGCTTATCTCAGTTTAACAGCGAAGGAAGCTCATCTTCTTTTCCCTTATCTCATCTGGGAAAAGGAAGCCTTTTATTTTAGGGCAGATGCGGACAAATTTTTAAGTTCCTATCAAATTACTCATTACATAATTAAAAGCACTAATGTGGTTGTCTTTGATTGAAGGGGGGTTTTAGTGAAATATGAGACTTTGGACTTGCACAGAGATTTCTGACATCCTCACATCCCACGAGCAACCAGGAGAATGAAGGACTGATGTGCCGGGATTTGACCTTGGCGTCTCAGAAGCAGCCTGGAGGCCTAGGAGGCACTAGTGCCCTCTAGCCCTGCTTGCTGCAGCCCAGCAACCCGAGCCCAAGGCCAAGGAGAAGGGGGAGGAGACCTCTTCCCTGTCCTGCCTTCTCAAAGCCAAGCCAGGTGGGGTGATGGACGTGTTCAGTCAGGCCATCTAAATGCTCTGAGGAGACGAGCAGTGCACTGCCTGGCCCTTAGTCCCTATCAGCGTCAAATAGCAGATGGTAATCAAAGCCCCACATTCCCCACTGTCCCATGGTTTGCTTCAGACTTGACTTCTGTTTTTACCTGTTATATTATCCTCTGTGTTTTCTTTGCTGGATAGACTGCAGTCTATCTCTGCAGATTTCAAACATAAGGAGCTCCTGTTTTTCATTAGGATTTCTTCATCACCATTTATTTCCATATTTAAAGATCCATTTTCACAGTTGTTTTCCGTTTGCCTGAGGTATTTTTAAAAAGAAAAAGCCAGAAAATCCGATGATATGGTTGGTCACAGGCTGCCCCAAAATATACAATTCTGAAAAATGGGGAAGGGGCTCATATCACCAACTCCTTTTAACATCAACTTCCCGGTTCCACGTCAGAGTAGGGTCTGCTGCAATAGGAGTGAGCCAGTTCCAAGGCTGAAGCTAAGTCTTGGCCAAGAATGGCTGGCTTTTTCTGACACCTCAGCTGACCTAATCTTCCTGCTGCCCACTAGCATCAGGAAGTAGCCATTGACAGCTCTTTGGTTTTCAGTCCAGCTTTCTTCAGGAGCCACATATAACACTTCCTTGACTTCCTACAACTTCTCCATGGGAGGGTTCTCTCTCCCTACCCATGGGCACCTGCATGTGTTTGCCCAGCAGTTAACGGCAGGAAGCCACCTGCCAAGGCCAGCAGAGAATGCTTTCTACAAAGGATATCTGAGAGGAAAAACACCGGGAGGACCACAACCCATCCTGAGAAACGTGACAGCTTTAGAGTAGCAGAAAACATGCAAGTGGGGCAGCTAATGTTGTTTGCTAAAGGGACAATGGTAATGCTTTATTATGGGTAATTAGACATAGGCAAATTTAAACAAAAATATTTTCTTCTCACAAAAATAAGGGGAAATGGCCCAAGCCCTCTTCTGGTCCAGGAAAACCACTTGCTAGTTTAAAAAAAAAAATTACTATATTCAGCCTGGCAATTTAAAAAAAGGTAGGAATATACAGATGCAATACCACAAAAGAGAAAACCTCCATAAAGATGTCCCAACAGCAGCATTTGCAGGAGAGAACCATAAGCAATCAAATTAGTAATAAAGCAAACAACAGAATATAAAGGAACTAATAAGTAATAAACTGGAAGGACAAATATCTGAACTGTGTCAATACATGGGATGTTTGGAGTCAGTGAATCAAGCCCCCAGTGACTGTGTAACTCTACTTTTTGCTTAAACTTAAGCGGTGCTTAGAGGAATAGAAATAGTTTAGGTTTTGATATGAAGGGATTTTTTTTTTCCAAATTTTTCATTTTAAATGACCCTACTTTCTTTTCTGTATGTAGTCACAGTTGAAGGCCCAGTGTGATAGCCTGGTGGCTAAATCCATGCCTTACATGTCCAGGATCCCAAATGGGTGCCACTTTGTATCCCAGCTGCTCCACTTCCCATCCAGCTCCCTGCTTGTGGCCTGGGAAGGCAGCTGAGGATGACCCAAAGCGTTGGGACCCTGCATCTGCTTGGGAGACTAGAAGAGGCTCCTGGCTCCTGGCTTCAGATTGGTTCAGCTCTGGCTGTTGCAGTCACTTGAGGAGTGAGCCAATGATCTTTCTTTCTGTCCATCTCTGTAAATCTGACTTTCCAATAAAGATAAAATAGGTCTTTAAAAAAAATGCACTTGAGTTAATGTTCAGCTCTGGGAGAGAAGTTCCAACCTCAGGAGCTGCAGACAAATCGAGTCACTGGACCTGATGACTGGGATCTCTGCCCCAGGACAAATGCAAACACCTTCCCCACGTAGCAGGCTGGCCAAAATGCCTGCACTGTTGAGGGTACCCTGACAGGAAGGTCAGGTGCTGCTTCCTTCTGATACCATCCCAAATCATGAAAACCACCATGACGTCAAAACAAAATTAAGCCAAGAATAACAACATTCTTATTTATTTTATTTTCTACTTTTACAAAGAAGGAAAAAAGTACTCTACCTTTCCATTGAATTATGAATCGGTATAATAGGATGTTTCATCTTAAAAAAAAAGAAGAAATTAAAATTTACATGTTAAACCTCCAAGACAGCATATTTAGAAGTTTATATAAAAGCAGTAAATATAGTCCTGACATACACTGCCCCACTCTACAAGGACAATATTCCTCCTGAAAGGGAGGCACCAGTCAGTACTGCCTCTTATTTACTGAAATAAGGGCACCCACATTGCTAAGGAAAAGGAGGATGGTTTCTTAAAGGACTTAATATCACAGCTGAACTCTTGGTATTAACAGTTATAATTTCAGTTATGATCACCAAACATTAATAAATAACAAATTATGATGCAGTATTATATCAAACATCATAGGCATAAAGGCAAAATTAGGGGGTTTATACCTTTAAAATGATTTCAATATAGAATAAGGCTAAAATGGAGGTACATATAAGAGTAGGAGATTTAAGTCCAACTTAGGGACTCAGGGGACTCGGAGGAGGAATAAGAACAAAGTATGGAAAGAGAGATTTGAAGGGTGTTCCAGGAACTAGGAAAAGATAAAGGGAGGAGCCATAATAACTTCAGGTAAAGGAATGACAGCAACAGAGCTAGGGGATTTGGGCTTTAACTTACAGGCAATGAAGGAGCCACTAAAAGGTTTAGGTAAAGTGGTGATAATAGAATCATGTTGGTAAGAGTGAATGCCACCAGTTAGCAGGCCACTGCAATTCTAGTCAAGCCTCACCCTACTGGACTAGGAAGCAACGGATACACTGGAGACAGGTGGCAAACCTGCAGAACTCATTGCCTGGATATGAGGGAAGATATAAAAGTGGACATAAAGCCACATCATCTTCCATTTGTCTTTATCAGTCACCAAAGGGTGTTTCACTTAGACTTTTCTTTATACCCTGTAGCAGCTAAATCGAACAGGGCCTTACCTTATTGGACTTGAGCATGGCCAGCTGTGGTGACCCAGGGGGAGTGCGATATAGCAGTTCAGAGGTGAAGGCTGCGTTTGCGATCTGCATGCACTCTTCCAAAGTTTTCAGAAAAGTGTTGCAGGTTGATTTTAGCAGAGTTCCTACGTCAATTCCCTCCTACAAAACACCCAGAGTGGAAGACTCTCTTTGTTTTTGTCAAAACGAAAAACCTAACTCTGGACAGCACTTAGACTTGTTTACCCTCAAAGTAAAAATAATATTCAACCTGTTTAGCAGACAAGAATGTACAATAATTATAAAAGAAAAACACTAGGAAAACCAATTAATCCATTACCCATGGGGCTCACATTGTGGAATAATGGTTAAGCTACCTGTGTTGCTGGTATCTTGTATTATCACTGGTTCAAGTCTCAGCTGCCCCACTTCCCATCCAGATTCCTGCTAATGGCCTGGGGAAGCAGTGGAAGATGGCCCAAGTGGTTCTACCCCTGCCACCCAAGGGGGAGACTCAGTACAAATTCATGGCTCCTCGCTTTAGTGTTGTAGATATTTGGGGAGTTCCACAAATGGGAGATTTCTCTCTCTCTTTCTCTGAAATTCTGTTTGAAATAAATACACCTTAAAAAATCCATTAGCTATGCACAAAGCCTGTCCTCACTGCAACCCATGAGTTGCAACACCACCCCAGCTCAATAATACTATATAAACAGCACTGTCCCAGTGCTGTCCACGGAGCTCTCATGCAGCTTCCTGTCAGCCATATAATTTGCTTTCAGCACAGATGAGCCCACAAGGTTTCAGCAACAGGAATTACTTTTCCTTCATCCAAGTGCTCAGAGTGCTTGCTGTTTGGATATCAGTATTGACATAGTTAAGTTACACAGGAAACAGAGGTCATAGCCTGACTATACAGTTAAGAGACCACATTTTAGTGGCTTTTCTATTGCTTCAACTTCCTAACAAACTGCCAGCTGATGCTCCTGGGTACTAAACATACTTCTCATTAGCAACTCCCTAAAACACTTATGCATTTTCCTTTGATGGGTCCAGTGCAGTAACCTAGTGGCTAATGCACCAGGATCCCACATGGGTTGCACTTCCCTTCCAGCTCCTTGCTGTAGCCTAGGAAAGCAGTAGAGGATGGCCCAAAGCCTTGGGACTCTGTGCCTGGGGTGGGGGCACCCAGAGGAGGCTCCTGGCTCCTGGTCCTGGCTTTGGATCACCATTGCAACCATTTGGGGAGTGAATCAGTGGATGAAGGATCATTCTGTCTCTCCTCTTCGTAAATCTGACTTTCCAAGAAAAATTAATAAATCTTTAAAAAAAAAAATCTGCTGTGCTTAGGATCAGTGTTGTGGCACAGAGTTGAGAAGCTGTATGTGATGTCTTCATCCCTTAGCAGAATGCCAGTTGGAGTGTTGGTTCCTATGTTTCCGATCCAGCTCCCTGCTAATACACCTGGGAAAGCAGCAGCAGATGGCCCAAGTGCCATCCACATAGGAGACCAATGTACAGGTCCAGGCTTCTGGCTTTGTCGTGGCCCAGCCCTGGCTGTTGTGGCCATTTGGGAAGTGAACAAGAGGATGGAAGATTCCCCTTCTCTATTATTTGACTTTCTAATAAATTTTTTAAAGCTTTTCTTAAAACACACACACACACACACACACACACTGCTGTGTCCACTTTTTCCCTTCTTTCTAGACCAAGGCTTCTTCATGTTGCCACTATGGGGCTTGTTAGCTTTTGAGGTGTGTGTAAAGGGCTGGCTCTCCTATCCACTCTATCTTTGTCCTCTTCCCCCTAGATGCCAGTGACATTTCCTCAATGACAATCAAAAACGTTTCCAGATTTTCTCAAATGTCTCCTGGGGGCCACTTTTGGGCTAGCTGAGAATCGCCGTTCTGGATTATAAGCTTTTGTAAGAACAGGGCTGAAAGGTGGTTCTGGCTCTCCCGGCCTTCCCCTCTACAACAGGCAGCTGTTGAATGGACAAGACAGACCAGAAGGAAGGATCAAAGTGCGTTACATCACCTTTATCTAAGAAATACAACCTCCAAGTACCCTGCCACTGGCAGCACACCCGTGCAAATGACTGCAAACCCTTCACGAGGGATTCTGCACACCGCGGCACCCTCCACGGGACCCCTGCAGGAGCAGAGGCCCTCAGTCACTCATGACGTAGCTTAATGCCAGGCAGGTCCCTTAATACCTTATGTTTTAGGATAAACGAATAATAACTTTATTAATAAATGTTATAAAATCAACCTTTGCTGATGATGGAGAGAATAAAAGCTGTACCTCCTTCTTTGTGAGCACAACAGTTACTGTAGTGAAGTAAGATCAGGCTTATCGGAGAAAGCCGATATAGAACATCTTTGAGAAACTTGAGGCTGGCATTTTTGAACAAGGATGATACTGGAGAAGAGCATACCTTGGGATGCCTGTTACAGATTAATTTTGAATCCATCCCAAAAAAGAGAACTACCTGCTTCCATGTGATGAAATGCATACATTTCTTTGGTGAAGTTTGTTCCTTTTTTTTCCTCAATAAAATATGCATTCCAAGATAGGGATTATTCAACACCTGTCAGCAATCTGGTGTTACTTTTCATGGAAAATATTAACAGTTTTTATTATTAAAATAGGATTTTACCTCAGAATTGGATACACCAGTTGTGGTCACTTCTTTTGTTTTATCTACTTGTTGAACTAGGAGGTCACAGTAGAGTCTTAGTTCTGACATTTTGGTTTTCAAGTTTTCGGTGTTTTCAGCAAATTCTAAATAACAAAAATGATAATGTAGTTACAAGAATGCGTGACCAATTTCCAGGTTAGTATAGGAGACAAAGTAGAATATAAGAGACCTCCAAAATGTTCATGAAAACCATGCATTCTTTTTTAGTTCCTGCTTTCCAGCAACATTCTGAAGTGGTTTTGTACATAATCTTTGGCCAAAGTCAGATGCTGATATTATAAGCGATGGATATGATATGCCTGAAGACATTAGAACAAGAAAAACGGCGAAAGGGTGGTTCCAGTCTTTGAAGCATTTTTTGTTTTTAAAAAAGTATGACATATAGAAATTGTGCACATCTGAGGTACACTTTAATGTCGTCTTGAGGCATATATATGCTGGGTAATGTCCAGTCAGGGCTGACACATATATATCCTCAAACACTTTACTTTGCTTTATGGCAAAAATGTCCCAAATCCTATCTTATGACTTTTTTCTTTTTATAGATAAATATACAGTTTACTTGTGGTCTCAAAGGCACTCTGCTGTGCTATGAAACTGCAGAACTCCTTACTCCTGTCTAGCTACAACTCAGTACCTGTTAATCAACCGTTCCCCAACTCCTCCCCAGACTCTAATAACAGCTATTACATTTTAGTGCAGTAATCTACTTCTTGGGATGACATACTGTGTAATCACCAGTACAGGAAGGAGCAGGTAACAGTCCTCTGAGTTGCGCCTGTCCCACAGTCTGGGGCAGTCAAGGGCTCAGTGCCCTTTGCTCCCTGGGCTCAGAGTTATCTGTCAACTATTGTTGCATTCTGCTCAGGTCCAGGAAACTGTCTTAGTTATTCGAGCACCACTAGGAACAGCCCTGGTCATTTAGCTGAGAACTGGGTGAGCATGCTGCCAGTTCACGAGAACGGTCCTCAGTCATCATTAGTAAGCCACTCCAGGCACTGTGGAGCCAGAAGCTGTCGCAATAATTACCACTTGTCTCCTTCCCAGGCTGCACATCACCACCTGCTCTGAGCCAAAGTGACAGCTTCCAGAACTTGTTCCTGATTCAGTGCTAGAAACAGTGAAGAGACCATTTCACCAGTCTACTTAGACAGGCATATCTGCCACAACTGTGAGGAAAAAAAAAAAAAAAAAAAAAAAACGCTCCCATCCACCACTGCCCCCAAGCCAGTCAATCTCTCTAAGGACAGACGGGGCTGTAGGGCTGGGTCAGCAGCAAGTACGGCCAGCCAGAGAAGTGGTGTCATGGTTCTCAGAAGACTGGATGGTGTTGAGCATTAACAGCAAACTGATAATTACCCATCCATCCTACCTCAGGGACAGGAGGGGAGAGGAAGTTGGCACTGCAGAAAATACTACCGTTCAGGACTTCTCTGCTCAGCTACTTTCAACTCAGCTCAGATGAATGTTGTGCATGCTGGGTACTAGACCATTTCACATCTCTAGTTGTCATGGTAACCTTTCTAAGACATTTAAAGATGTTCAGAGAGGTAAAATAACCCATGCCAGTGTCACACAGTCAGTAAACTATAAAGCTTTCATTTGAAGCCAATTTGTCTGATACCAAAGCCTATATTCCTTCTACTAGGATATACAAAGAGTCTCAGTTAGATACGGACCTTGGTTTAAACTCTTCTATGATAGATACCATTGTAATGATACAAAGAGCTCGCCAGGCATTCACAAGCACAATTACAAATAAGGGAATCCAGAGATGGGAAAGGGTGATTCTTAGGGTTCCCAGCCCAGAGCACAACCAATACTTGCCTTTCTCCTTCTGGGTCCTGCTGTCTGTCAGACAAGCCTTGGCTGACCCCAGGGCCACCAGCCACCGCTGTCTCTCAGCCACACTTCTAGCCTTCAGGTAGAAATACTGTTCCCCAGGAATTATCAGGTCCATGCGTGTGTTGTCCACAGAATGAACTAGGAACAAGACAGAGTGATCTCAGAGACCAAGATAAGCCCTAGTTGGGTAGTCTCTAACCCATTCACTGTGTTGAGCTCCACTGAGCCAGCCACTGGGGTTCTACCTGGAAAGGTGAGGATGCCAGGCCTCAGCACCTGTTCCAGTTCACACAGATCTGTGTCTGCTTATCTCTCCTGCATCCCTCTGTCAATCGACAGGGGAAACCCTGCCATGGGCTCCAAGGCATCACCAAGACTGACTCAAAGAAGGACCACTGATATAATTTTTTGATGAAACTGGCCTTGAATCAGAATAGAGGAACTCTCTTTTGGCTACTGAATGTGGATAGTATGCTGCTCTGAGGTAAAGCAGGGTACCATATCACCAGGGAACCAGAGCTTAGATGCAGTTTGCTCTGAGGGTTCATGTGTGGCAAACTTGCTCCGCAGTGTAGTTAAGCTAAGAGGTGAGACCTTTATGAGCTGCAGTCGCATGGGGGGTGTCAGGAGTGCTGCCATCTGAAAGAATTCATGTACTTCTTGTGGAACTCTGCTCAGTGCTGCAGAGAGGGCTATTTTAATAGAGCAAGAGTGGCTCCAGTCTCTCTGGCTTCTGGTTTTAGCAGATCACCTCTCCCTCACACACGCTTGCACAGTGATGTCCTCCACCAGTGTCATACAACCAGGAGGGGCCTCCCCAGAGTCAGCACCACAGTCTCTGGACTTCCGGCCTTCAAACCGGAAGCCAAATAAGCCTCGTTTCTTTCCAAGCACCCATACCTGAAGCAACCAGGTCACAGTGTTCTTTCTACTTTCTACAAGTCAGACCCAAAGTATATGAATTCCCTCAGAACCCTTCAGAGGAAAAACCAAGCCAGTCATGCTCCTCCTCAGCAATGCCCCACCCCAAAACTTAAATCCCCATTGAATCTGTTTTGCCTCTTAGCCACATCTTAATTTTTCTAAATTCCAAATAGACTTCAAAACTAAGAAGTACGTCTGTTTGTGGCTCTGGTAGGTTCTGGCTGGTTACTGGTGGGGTTGGAAGCATGCTGCTCTGCGTATGTGTGCACGTGTGCATGTTGTTTTTCTTGACTTAAACACAGATGTGCTTGGTGCACTGGTAACAAGACTCAAGTAAGCTTTGCAAACAGCCACTCGCCCAGTGAGCAGGTGACTAAGCTGTGCACTAGCTCAGTGGTGAACCACACCGCTCTCATCTCTTCTGACCACATCTTAACTAGTCCTCCGGGAAAAGCTGGCTTTTTACAAGGCTTTCTCTGGAGGATACAGTACTGTGTATCTTGGTCTATTTGAAGGAAGCAGCCAAGAAAGGCGAATGCTTGCTTATCTCTGCAGGGAGATGGAAGGAAAAATAACATCTGCAAGCCACTCAACTTCTTACCTTGAATCTCACAGACTGCCATTTGGATGCTCCCTTTGCAACCTTTCCAGGCGTCCTCAGGAGAATCATAGTAGGATAAGATCCCCCCACAGAGAAGGAACCATCGAGGCTGCCAGCCTGAAAACAGAAGAAACAGCAATGTAACCAGGGCTGACTGCACAGGACCCAGCACCAGGACCTCACACAGGACACTAGCTCCCAGCTCAAGCAGCTTCATAATGCCAGGGGAATTCTAAGATAAAAAGCAGCAGCTTAGAAAAGATCTATGTAACTGATCTCATTTTAGGGAAAGTAAAAGCAAACATCCTTGAGGCTTGTAGTTTTAGTCACGGGAGGCACAGAGTAAGTCGGGATCAGCATCAAGTACAGTGATGATTCTCAAGGCAGTGGATTTATAAGTGGTCTTTATTCTCCTTTTACCCTAACATAGGGCTAGCCATTTGTGATTTCTAATTTTTCTGAAGCAAATGATGATTGTGTACTGAATGTATTATTATCACACATTCAATCTCCTCTCTCCTGGTTAAGAAAAAAATGATCCAAAACTTAGAAACAACAAAAATTACAAACAGTGTGTGGCATCCATCATGCTGGTAAATCGGCCCAGAGTCACATGACCCTTGGGGAAAGGTAACTGTTGAATTTACTAGTCAATACTGATCCCCTGAGACGGAGTTGTCTTAATATATCACGGCCTCACTGTGTTCACTTCAGTGTTAGAATTTCAGGAGGTAAATCACAGATGGCAGAAACAAATCTTATCCAGTTCTCACACACCTGTCTTCTAACTGGCCCAAGCTTGATGATGCAGCCTGTTGGGATACAGTTCCCTCTGGCAATTATGCTAGGCTGAGGCAGCCACAGAGAAGGTCAGAGGGGGCTCCTGGCAGAGGCTGTTCAGGCATAGACAACTGCTGGGCCCTTGGGAAATGAGTCCCACAAACCAAGTGGGTAAGACACAGACAGATGTTACAACAGTACCTATTTCTATTTATACTGCATATAGGACCATCTAGCACCTGTAACCTACAGTTATGATCCAAGGAAACTACATTTGTGATCAGAAGACTGAATGGTCAGCACTAAATCTAATGGAAGAGCTAGGTGGGCAGGTAAGAGGATTTTATGCACTTACTCCCCCCCACCTCCCCCCCCCCCACCACCACCACTGGGTTCAACTTTTCTAGAAACAAGGCCTGTTAGATACCACTCCTTACTTCCTCCATCAAAATTGGGAAACACTGATTGTCAACATTCACATTATGATTAAATCTGAACTGGAATGTCTTGCCAACATCCCTTTCTCACCAAAGAGCTCATCCTCTCCAAAACTATGGCTCTGCTCCTCTAGCTTCATTTCCTATTGGTGACTTCTTCTCAATGTCCTAGGCCCTTTGGATATCAGAAGCCTAAGGGCCCTAAGTTGACACAGCACAAGTGAGTTCTTGGCTGGCAACCCCCTTGGGATAAATGCAAATTTCTATTTCAGAAGGTGATGCTTCCAATGTTGGCTTCAACTTCTACAGAAATACACACAGGAGGCCCCTGTTTTGGCACATACCTTACAACCAACTGATTATCAAACTATCTTCTTGATTAGATACTCCTAGAATCAAACATTACTGAGGATGTTTTACCCCTTTGCAAGAATCTGATTATTTATATGTATAATTGAAACTGAAGAAATCAATTTCTGAAGAGTTGAGAAATGGAAGATGTCAACCAACTCATTATATAGAGAAGGAAGCTCATCCCAGACTCACAGACAGCAAATTGCAGAGCTGGGAAGAAAACCATGTCTTCAGATGTTGCTTCTTTTGGCAAAAAAATCTCCCAAATTTTAGCTGCCTGTTCCCAGAAAGTCATTTTGGCACAGAACAATGAATATCTTTTCTCTTATAGCTCAATTCCCATGGCTAGGTGGGGTAAACACTACCCAGATGCACCATGATTTTTATATAGAAGTCTTTTAAGACATGCTCAGTAAGTGTATTTTATCAAAATTAAGACACATCCTCTAAGTTAGCATTCTTGAGAAATTGACAGGAGGTAGGAGTGTGTGTGTGTGTCTGTCTGCCTCAGAGGCTTACACTAAAGAACTTGATTATGGGATGGAGGAGGCTAAACTCCAAGACCTTCAGTCAGCAGACTCACCTAGGACAATCAACAGTGTAAATCCCCACAACAAGGCAACTAGGGAGGAGCAAGTCTCTCTGTTGGCCTTTCTGTTGCAGTCAAGTCTCCTACAGTCCGCATGAGGCCCACTCACATTCAGAAGGGCACACTTCTTGACTTAGTTTCCTATTTCAAATGTTCATCTCCTCCAGAAACTCTTCCTGGACCCACTCAGAATAACAGCTAAACAAATGGGCATACTGAGACTCAGTCAAACTAATACATAACATTAACCACCACATCATCAATAAGAAGACACATGGCTTATGTAACACAAAGAGACCAAAAACTCTGATGATGAAACAATGACATGCACTGATTCAAAGAAACCTCCTGATTTCAGAGTGGTTAAGATGTGGACGAAGGGGAAAGTGTCTTAAAATTGAAAAGATGTACTAGTTTTCCCTATAGGAATCTGAGAAATGTTCACCAGCAACCCCCACCCCTACTCTGCTGACAGACTGCAGGACACCTTGAAAGTAGCTAATAAACTACAGTAAGTAACTGAAATAACAGCTTCCCTAGTATGAGCTCTGTATTTATCCAAGGGAACTTATCATTACACCAAGTGAAGTTCAATCTATTGCTATTTTATCCTGTAGCTCATAGGAATTTCTCACAGACACATAATTCCTGGAGTTGTGGAAGGCACAGCAGGAGACCATACCGTCTCCTTCCACTGAGACAAGATTTCAGTGCACAATGATAGGGAGTCCTGTGTAGTGCTGGGACACACTGCTCTTTATTTGAAAGAGGGACAGAGAGTAAGAGAGGGTGTTCTCTTTCACCTGTTGGTTCATTCCCCAAATGCTTTTAACAGCCAGGACTGCACCATGTTGCAGCCATTCATCCAGATTCCTACCAGGTCTCCCTGTGGTGGGCATCTGGGAGCAAAGCCAGAGAAAGGAAGACTTTTCTCTCTCTGCCATTTCAATACACAAAAACTAATATTAAAATGCACTTAGCGCTGGATCTAAACTGGCTCAGCCCATGTTGATTTTACACTAAAACTGATCCTCTCCCCACCCCCTACTTTTTTGAGACCTCTCCTTAGAGCCCATATCTGTTGGTTCACTCCCCTGGAGTGTCTCTCACATGGTCCAGGTCTCCCACATGGATGGCGGGAACCCAATCACTTGGGTCATCACCTCCTGACTTCCAAGGTCCGCATCGACAGCAGGCTGAGCAGGAGCTGGAGCCAGGGCTTGAACCTGAGCACATTATCATGGGGAGTGCAGGTGCCTTAACCTTTAGGAGAAATAACTACCCCCAAATGTCCTCCTTTTTTATTCCCCAGAAGTAACTACCATTTTAAAATAAAAATCTCTAAATGGAAAGGTTCTTGTTCCTTTAAATATCTCAACCAAAAGAGTGACTTGTGAGTCATATCCACTTATGACTAGAAGATATTGTAGCTTCCCTTCTTTTTCAGCAGCCTGGAGACAGTGAAATCCAAGATTCTGATGATTTACTTTATGGAATTCATGATACATAAATTCTCAGAAGCTACGAGCAGCCAGTTTGCATAAAAAAGCTGAATATATAAACTGATTTTTCCAGGCATCACTACTCCAAACAGCCAACCAACTACTCTACTTCTTGGGGAACTAGGCACTGGCAGTTTATATACATTATCCATTCCATCTTCTTAACAAGCCTAGGTATGGCTCTTAGTGTTGCTGCCACTGTAGAAGTGGGGTTCAGGAAGATTAACTTGCTCAGGCATCAGCAATAGTGTGTAGTTTTGTAGTGGGGGTTTGAACTCTGGCTTTCTGACTCCAACCTTTCACATGGAGAAGTTCAAATCTCTCAGACTGTAACTTACAATGGATGAAGAATTAATCATTGTATATTCATATGCAAAAGAATGAGGGTGTACTCAACCAAATATCATATACAAATACTAACTCAAAATGCATTAGAAACCTAAATGTAAGAGCTAATACTACAAAAGTTTTTAGAAAAAGAAAAGAGAGTAAATATTTATGTCCTAAAGTTAGGCAATGGACTATTAAGATATACCAAAGGGGTCTACGGCCATACCACCCTGAATGCACCCGATCTCGTCTGATCTTGGAAGCTAATCAGGGTCGGGCCTGGTTAATACTTGGATGGAAGATATACCAAAGGGGACACAGCCTGAAGCACCTATACCTATATCAGTGCAGGTCCATGCCCTGGCTGCCCTACTTCCCACCTCGCTCCCTACTAATGGGCCTAGGAAAGCATCAGAAAATAGCCCAATAATACGGGCTTCTTGGGTCGCTTGGCCTGGGTCCTTGGCCCACCTGCATGGTGGGTACTGGGTCCATGAGCCGCAGGGGTGGAGGATCTGATGGGGTCTGGGTCGCCTGGCCTTGGTCCTCACCCTGCCTACATGAAAGGTGTCAGGTCCATTAGCCCCTGGGGGAGGGGAGACCAGCAGAGCTTGAATAGCCTGGCCCAGATCCTTGTGCTCACCTGTAAGAACTGGCCATCCTCAGTGGAAAAGATGGAGTAGTGGACAGCTGGCCCAGGTCCACATGGAGGATGTGGCAGCCCACTGAGGCCTATAGAGGACATCTGGTACCATGCCAGAAGAAGGAGGGCAGAACAAACTGGATAACTACTCCAGCCAAATGATGACAGCAAATATCTGGGTGAATGGAGACTCTAAGGTTGACTATGTCAGCCAATGGACATTGATAAGGTCACCTCATCCTTGGATCCGCAAAATTGACAGCATTTCAGAACTATCGAAACTGCCTGGGCAGAACTCTCAGAGCATGCACCACATCAGGACCCTGAGTTGATATCAGATGGCCATTCCCCATCCCTGGATTTGGAGCGGTTGGGAGGCTGGGTATGACTTCTCCCCTTGTCCCCGCTTTCCCCAGAAACAGGAAAAAGAGGTCGAAAATTTGGAAACAATGATCACACCCACTTTTCCCTAACCCTTGATC